CCCTTATTCTGGTTGCCCTTTTTAACCGAATTAACAATTCCAAGAGTCTTTGGTTTTGCACTTCTTTGATAGATGCATCCTCAATTCTATTTGCCACTCCTGCTACATACAGCGAATCTGTTACCACATTTAGTGGTCCCTGCCAATTAAACATTGCACAGGAGGTGGCAGCTCAAGCACAGAAAAACCCGCAGCAAGCTGCTGGCCGTCCAGGGTAACCTGCACCGGGGGGATCGGCTGGCCAAAGTTAACCCCCCGACTCCGCTGAGGGTGGCAGCTGCTGGCTGGAAAGGCCAGGCTGCCGACAGTGACGAGGACTGGTAATACTACAGTCCGCTCCTGTATCCAATAGTCCAGTAAAGGTTCTCTTTTGTCCTTGATATTCAATTATCACTCGAGGTAACCAATAAAAGGGGCGAGCCCGCCTGTAGAGCCAAAACCCCGGTCTTTTCTAAGAGCCCAATTGTGATGTTACAAAGTCCTTTGTCATTTGTTCCAAAGGTACTCATTGCGCGATCCTCTGCCCTTTAGTAATACGCAAAGGCGGAAAAGGAGCGTGAGCCATAATCATCATCTCTCCCTCCAAGTCCACATCAATAACACCAGGCAAAATAAACAGTCCAAGAAAAGACCGGGAACAGCGTGCAGAGCCTCCGGCTGAACTTGGCCGGCTCACTGCGGGTGACACTTGAAGGGCTGCAGGGTGCAAGAGCAGCCAGCGCTTGGGTTTGAGCAGCTTTTGCCTGCTCCTGTAGCCCTACAGCTAGTTGCTTAATTGCATCAACTATAAATGCCTGTGGCCCCGTGGGCACTGATGCTACCTTTTCCAAAGCTTCTGCTATGGTCCAGTGTGCCCCCAATGAGGTAATAACATTACGGGTGGCTTGATTACAATTCTGGAGCACACACTGCCTTAGTAACATCCCATGCATAAACTCAGACACACCTGCCTTTTGAATAGCTGAAGCCAACTTATCAACAAAGGAGCCCAACGACTCATCTCTTCCCTGAGACTCATATACGCTGGCACCGCCCCGGGATCTTTTACCTCATCAATAGCCGCTCGAACCAATCTCATAGCCTCTCTGCATTTGTCTGCTCCTATCAAAACCTGCGCCTCGACTCGCTGATATGGACCTAGACCCATCCATTCATCTACCATCACATTTAAGAATGGATCTCCTGGCTGTCTCTGGAAAGCAACACACTCCGCGACCATAGCTTGCCAATGCGCGTTAAACAATAACTGTCGATGCTGTGAAAATATTAACTTTGCTCTACTTCGACAATCCGCTGGCAGCAACACATGGCTCCTCCAAATAGAATCTAACCTCTGTTTCACCGGCTCACTAGGAACTCCAAACTGACTGACTGTAGCTCGCAATTGCCATCAAAGTTTCCAATTTTTTCCACATTTTAATCGCCGATTTATCACCCGCCAAATGAAGTTCCCAAAGTTTGTCCCCAAATTGACGCCACTCAGTTAATTCCTGAACAGTATGCGGGTGGATCAACAACCCCTTACTATACCCAAGACTTAAAAACTTCGGGAGATCTTTTTGAAGATCTACATCTTTGACCTGCCCCTTCTGCTCTGGACGGTCACCTGGAGCTCCGGCACCTCTTGCCTGCGCTTTGAGCCATCCCCGGGCGCAAAAAGGGACCCGAACCAGTCGTCGTTCCACCGTGGTAGTCCAGCCCAGTATCACGTCGGGGTCACCACTTGTGGCAGACGGGAGAAATGTCCACCCTCATGGGCCAGCAAAACTCCTTGATTGAAACATTGGTAACAGGTTATATAGAAACGATAATGAGCCTCATCCATATTGCAAAAGTGGAGCTCAGCATTGGTTACCCGCTCCAGGCCGGTGCAGCCCCTTGTTTTTCCCCCATCCCAGACGTTGTGGAGCCCCCGTTTCTATTTGTAGCAACGAAACCAGGCAGAGCTCGTCTCTATCCCCTGGTGTTGTTCATTTCTCCCTGAAAACCGTGGCCTCCGCCCTTGTTTTTGTCTTAGGGGAAAATCACTGCTCTACCACTTGTAGCTGACCACGGCCTCTCTCTGCCAGCCATGCTCGAACAAAACCCTCAACAAGGGACCTCTTCACTACAGAATGGGTTGCACCCACCACCCCAAAATCCTCAACATCTTCAACACCATCTCAGCACCCCCAAGCCCACCACAAACTCCCAAACCAAGCTCTCTGCCCATCCCTCTGAGCCCTCAGGGCTCCTATTCCTACAGGCAATGAAAGAAGCCAAAAAAACATGGGTTTTTTTCTTTTCCAATAGTCTCACTTTATTAGATACCACACCAAGAGAGGATGTTGTGCTGCATGCAGCGGAAGACTGGAGTATTTCTAGTTCCTGTGTAACATTTTCTGTTTCTCTTAATAGTTGTCAACTGATATTTTGCTGTAAAATCACTGCATGCGACTCTGAATGCAAACAGCAGTAGAAGAGGCTTTTATTTTTCTGGGGTTTTTAAGTTTTTCACCATTCCCAATCCATATGTGCATGCTTTATTTACAACAAAAACAAGTCATTCAGGGCATAAATTACCATCAGAAAAAAAAACCCAAACTGAGAAGAGAAGGTGGTAGAGACCAGGACTGTGGTTTGCACAATACTCAGGAGATTGGCAAGTTGCACTTGATTGTTTTTGTGGGTGCAAAGAGATGATTTGAGTACCTTTTGTCCAAGGGGAGAGCAGGCTGAACAGAGAATGGCAATACAGGGTGGAGGAACAGCAACCTTGAGTGAGCTGTTCTGCACATCCAGAGGAGGTTGAGCTGCTGCAGGGCTGGGAGAAACTAAGGAATTGCTCAAATATTACTTTGGAAAGGGAATTTTACCCTCAGCCACACATTTCCCTAGCATATCTCCATGCCCAACTGCTGCTCAGAGATGAACAGGGAGGATTTGGCCAGGTCCAGCACTCCAGAAGGGATGGTGGCAGCATAGAATGGCTAAGGCTGGAAAAGACCTCTAAGATCGAGTCCAACTAGTGATCCTGAAGTCCAACCATCCCACACTGAACCACCTGAGGCCAGAGCAGAGAGGTTTCAGCACAGCTGCACAGGACACAGAGGGAAACCAGCTGAAAGAACAAGGTTGTTTCAGTCTGGGGCCTGGGCAGTGTGGCTCAGAGGCTCTGGGATGTCACTCTTCCTGGCACAGAGTCAAGAACTGCATGAAAAAAGGGGAAACTTCTGAAGGTATCCTCTTCCATTACACTCCTCTGTGCATCAGGCCACAAGCTGAGCCACAGGATGGAGGCTGGAGTGATGGAAGAGGTCTCCCAGCTCTGGGTGGACCAGGTGGTTGAGGTTGGCTTTCCCCACCTGATGGCCCAAGGGTGAGGAGTCCAGAGTTGTGGGAGGCAACACAGATCTCCTTGGATGTGAGGCTGGGCTGCTCTGCAGGAGCAGCATCCCTCAGCGAGCAGAGCAGCATCCCTCAGCACCCAGGAGTTGGTGTCACCCTGAGGTGGTTAACATCCCTCAGCACCCAGGGGTTGGTGTCACCCATGACATAACATCGCTCAGCACACAGCTATGGGGATGCTCATGATATGTCAGCACCCAGAGCAAGTTCTGCTGGGGGAAAAAGATAATTTAAAGTAAATATCAAGAAAACAACTCATCTAACTCAAAGGAAAGAGCTGCCCAGGGCACAGGACAGCAGAGCAGCAAACTGCAGCAGCTGTTGCACAGGGAGTCATGGACCGAAGGGTTGAGGTTTCGTACAACATGCTCAGTGTGTAGCCAACTGACAAGATATTCCATAGTGCTTATGGTGCTACTATCAACATTGCTATGCTTGAGGTTGTTCCAGAGCCAGTGAATGGTACCAAACCTGACCAGCACCAGCCTGAGAGTGTCTTCACTCTCCTGCTATCCAGGACAGCACGAACAGCCCCAGGCGATGGTTCAAGCACAGGCTGAAGACACTGGATCTGTGCAGATTTGGAACAAACAAACTAAACCAAAACCAAAACCAACCAAAGTTTGGAAGACTTCTAACTGTTCCAGCTAATTTCAGGAGATGTGGTATTTTAAAACAATAATCCTTGTACACATCACGAGTTGGTGGGGAGAATTATCTCCCTCGGCTTCCCTCCTGCTCAGGAGCAGGACAGGTGGTCTGAGGGGCCCAGGGACTGCCCTCAGGGCTCAGCTAGTCACTACTACACAGCTCAGAGGTGAAGAGGAGGTAGTCACAACCTTAAAACACGGGTGGGCTCCTACAGCACAGAGCGTGCGAGTTCCTGGGGTGAGAGGAACCGCACGTGGCAGCTGGAAACGACACGAACCAACCCAAACCTGCTCCCCTGCGAGCACAGAGCAGCTCCCGGCCCCTCCTTACTGTTATTGTGTTAGTGGTGGATCTTCTCAGCAAAGGATGTGCCACAATATTGCTCAAGTGGACCAAACCAGAAGTAAAGCTCAAGCAGGACTCGCAGGATAACATCGGTGACACTTTAGCCTAACCACGACAACACAGACAACCAGGCGACGGTGACGACCCACACCAAAGCCAAAGAGCTGCTGAGGTATCGAGATCACACAAGCAGAACAGGCTGATATGCTCTGACACCAGTGCTCTACCCCCTGATGCCAGACAGGAGCACAGCTGTGCCAGTGGCTGTGCATCCCACTGGGAGACGCTGGAGCAGGAGGAGGCAGGAGGAACACGGAGCATCACGCACACGGCCGGAGCGCGTGAGACGAGTGGGAGAGGGAGGGACGGTCAGAGGGGAACTATTGCTTGACAAAGTTACACACCAGGGGAACTCAATGACCTCCCTCCCCCAAAAACGTAAAGGAAGAGAATAGAAAAGATCTGGGGTGGTTTCCAGGTGGAGGTGAGGATGGAGGAGGCAGGAGAGCATCGCTGCCCTGGGGCTGGAGGCGTGTAGCAAGGCATGGCTGCGCTGGAAGACAGACATCAGAGACCTACAGGGGCTTGGCAGAGGATGGGTCAGGCAGCAGCTCCCTTTAATCACTGGCAACGTGGTTCTCGTTCTGCAGGGTGTGCCAGCGCTCGATCTTCTTGTCCTTGTTCTTCAAACATTCATACCAGTGTTTCAAGCGTTCCCCCTTGGCCGTGATGCCGAGCTGACATCCACCTGGGAGGGAGGGACAAGAGAAGACATCGTAGTCAGGGGTCATGCTGATGTTCCACATCCTTTCATGGGGACTAACCTCACACCTGCAGGGTTTTTTCCAACTTCCTGGATCAAAAATTCTCATGGAAACACCTAGAGATGCTCTGCCTGCCCAGAAGACCTCCCAGGATGGTGGGGATGGGGCAGTGCAGTGGGTGCACTCTATGTGATGACCTGTTACAATGGCCCCAACCAACCTGCATGGTCCTACTTGGGGTTCTTCACAGGGCAGGTGACCTACACACCCCTCCCATAGAGAACACACTGTATCAGGCACCAGAACTGTCCCCCAGAGCACAGAGACTTTCAGCTCACCAATGTAGTCATTCGACTTTCCGATGTCGTAATCCCACACGGAAATGTCCAGTGACTTCTTAGCCAGATCATTGTGTTTTATGTCATAGAAGAACTCCTGCAGGAGGAGAAAACACTCATCACCCTAAGCAACCCAGGAAAGCACATCCTGAAACTGCAGTGAAGGGATTGCATGGGACCTCTGTACAGCCTGGACTGGAAATCCAGTGAGGGAAGAGTTAAAATGTACTTAATGAAGGGAAAATGCTCCTTCCTGGGGCGTGTCTCCTCCCAGGATCACAGCACACTGCCCAAACCCATGAGCTGAGCTCACCTCTTGTACCAACATGAGCCATTCCAGGTGTCCCATCAAAGCAGCATCAGTGGTGGGACCCTGGGGATGCTCATCCCACCCACACCCCCAACTGGGGTGACACAGTGGGCAGCACCAGCAGCAGGGAAGTTTTGGGGTGCCCAGTGCTGCCTGCTCCCTTGGCAAAGCCATTCCCAAAATAATCCTGGCTGCAGAAGCAGAAAAGGAACCTGAGCAAGGAACCAAACCTTGGAGAGTTTGTCTTCCACCTCAGCACTGTAATTAGCTAAACTGATGTAATACTCTAAAGACAAGAGATCTATCCATACCTCATTAAACTCAGGATTCAATGTTTTCTTCTTAATCTGTGTCTTGTGCTTGGCCTTTTTGCCCATGTCAGGTTTCAGGCAACTGGGGGCAAGAGAAAACAGCTCAAAACTCAAGTGGAAAAACAGTGGGAGCTAAAAAAAGCTTTAAAAAATGAGTTTTGGGGCTAGAAAAAAAAGGCACTGAAGATATTTCCTTAAGGCAAATCCCCCTTCTCACCTTCTAGAGGACATGGGAAAAGCTATAGACCCAGAACCCAATGGTAGAGTTGGGATTGAATAGATCTATGTTGGAAGTTGATTTTAAAATGGAAATCCAACATCTTCCCCTAGTGGGAATGGAAGATAACAAGAGACTGAGGAGGAAAACTGCTCAGAACAACTCAGCTACAAAGAGATGTGCAAAATGTTCAACATGAGAGTTATTGAATGTGTTTTAGGAAGAACAGAGGTTTTCTCTGCAGGCAAAGAGAGAACAGGAATGGTAAGTGCACCAGGAATGGCTGCAGGGTCCTCTCCGTGTCACACCTTATGAGGTTGAAGTTAAAACATCTTAATTCCCCACATTCCTGGGAGCCACACAACAGCCAGAGACAGCACAGCAATCCTGGGCTCCCAGCTACAAGCAGCTCATGGGCTTGTGGGGCATGGAGGGACACCAAGACACCAAGGCCCTGGTGGGTCAGAGATGGAGAGAAGGAACTCATGTCCTGCAGCTCTGCAGGCATGAGGTGTTGATTCAAAGGTTGGACTTGATGGTCTTGGAAGTCTTTTCCAAACTTAATGATTCTACATGAGGTGGACACTGGGTCTGATCTTTTGGGGTCCTATGGGGAGTGATGAACCCAAAGGGTTGGGTCAACCTCACCAAGCTTCAGCCACAACGGGCACAAGGCATTGCTGGTGGACAGCTCCTTCCTGCACAAGGTCTCCAAGGCTTTTGGAAGGAGTTGCCAACCCACCAGCTAATTCCTATGGACAGTGGGTGGCTCCAGCACCTCGTGTTACTGCCCTGAGCCATGCCCAGCCTCACTCACAGCTTGACGAAGGGATCTGAGTATCCGTTGGCATCCATGGCTGCCAAGTGCACGCAGCGAACGATGCCCACGATCAGCCCACCCTGCTGTGTGCTGTACATCAGGGACACCAGGATCTTGCCACGCTCCTCCACGTCCCCACCACGATCTACCTGCAAGAGGAAGCAACCAGAGATGGGGACAGGAAGGCTGAGCAAGGAAAACTCAGTGAGAGAGCAGAAGGGACAAGATGGATATGAGGAAAACTTGTGTCTCCATGAGGGGTGGGAAAAGGGGCTTGTCCACAAGAGATGATGGGTGAAACATGCATGGAGCATGGACTTACCTCCTCTTCATACAGAGCCATCCCACGGGATGCGCCAGTGGTTCCAGTGCGCTTCATCTTGGGTGGGAAAGGGAAAAAGAGACTGCCATGAGTGACTGCAGATGGGAGAGGCACCATCCCATGGGAAAAGCATCCTCTGGTGCTCAGCTCAGCTCGTTCACTGGACTCCAGAGTGGAGGGGACTCAGGTATGTCCATCTGCTCCATCAACCTCCACCTCAGCAGGTTCCACACTGGGGAGCAGAGCTCAGGGATGGAGCTACCTGCCCTCTGCTCCAGCAACACCCATCAGCATGGGTTGGCAACACCAGCAGGAGAGGCCCCTAGAGTCACTCCCCAGGGATTCCCACTACTCTCCTTTCCTGGCCTCAGTGTATCACATCAGACCAGATATGGGTGGGAATCCAAGTCCTAAAGATGCCAGTGAAGTTGGGCACCTCCAGCTCCTGGCTGGTTCCAGCCCCAAGCCTATCCCTCTCTCCCTCCCATTCCATTTGTTTGCAAGCCAAACAGGACCAGCAGCAGAAGGGAATGTCACAGGAACTCACTGGTATTACTCTCTCCAGGCAGATGTTGAAGTTCTTTTTCTGATTGGCTTTGATTTTTTTCAAGGCAACTCTAGTTTCTCCAATAAACTCATTGTGGCCAAATTTGTCTTCGTCACACACAGAGATCCTGAAGGGAAGAGGAAAAGGTGAACATCAACCAGAACGACTCCAGAGCCAAACCTATCCCTGTAGGGGCACTTTTATGGGGGGTAGGTAAAGCAAAGCCCCCCCAAAACCACCCTCCATCCATCTCTCCTCTGACCAAAAGCAGGGAGAAAAACTCCAGTTTGCCCAAAAAAAAAAATAAAAAAAAAATCAACATTTTTAATATCTGCTCTGTGAATGAGCAAGAAATCAACAGGTGGAAGTTTCCTGTAGGAAAGAAATGCCAAAAAATTTGAGATAGATTTAAATGACACCTAAATATTTTGGTGGATGTTGTCAAATCAGCACAGACACAACATACACATCTCTACGCTGATAGGAATCATAGTAATACCAATAATTCCTTACATGACAGGGCCAAAATTACTTTCTTTCTTCTCTTTATGGGACAATCCAAATCAAATGTTCATGTTGATCTTAACCAAAAGCATTTCCAGGTGCTCCATCACCCCCTGCACTGTGCTGCCAGTGCTCTCCCGAGGGAGGCTGGTTGTGATGCTCCATGCAAGGAGCTCTGCAGCCTCCATCCCACCCCTCTGTGGGACACTGAGGCTCCTCCACTTGCCTGAGGGTTTTCCTTTGCATGTCCTCATCTGTGATGCCGTGGTACACCAGGGTCTCGTTCCACACAGGGTTACGTGTGTTGCGCAGCGTCTTCGTCCTCAGCTTGTTTGACTGTGGTGTCAAAACAGAGTCATTACTCCCCTGAGCTCCTCCCCACCTAAATTCCAGCTCCTAGAAGAGCTGTTCCATCACATCTGGCTCACAAGAGGTGGTTTGGTTGCCGTGGTGAGCATCACCAACCCAACAAGATGGACCTTCAGGCAAGCAACAGGGACTCAGTGACACTTGGTGGCCAGGGCAGCTTTCACTGCCTGGTTTTGGTCACTCCACAGGGTCTATTCCCTCAAGAACACTTGTATATGGAAGAAGAAGCACAGAGCAGGCTGTGCAGGCTCAGGCCATGACTCTCATGGTCTAAAGGAGGTGAGAGCTGAGGAATCAAGATGCTCTGGCCCTTGGGTCATGTGTCTGGCACAAAAAAAATGGGCAAAAGAAAAGAAACACAAGCAAATGAGAGCAACAGAAATCAAAGGATCACAGCACTTTGATTTACTCTGCACAAGACCAAAAATTGCATAAAGCAAACCTGTAGATATCAACCCAATGATTTTATTCTCAGTTTTCCCCTTGTTTCACACTGAGATCCTCTGAGCAAAATTCTGCTGCAGGGAAAAGCTTTGCAGCCCCTGAGTAAGGAACCAGCACCCCCTGGGCACTGGGTCAGTGGTGGCCATCCCTTCCTCCAAGGTTTCCCCACCAAGATCAGCTTTGCTGGGTTTGGGGAGGGAAATTTCCAGGGATTTCCATGCTGGAGCCAGAGTTGCCTCAATAGCTCTCTCTTCCAGCTCTAACAAGAACATGCTGCAGCTCCAAAGCAAACGGACAGCTCAAACCCTGGCAATGATTAGATGTTTGGTCAGATGTTTTGTGATGCATTAACAGTGTTGTCTCCTCTAGAGCTTCCCTTCATCCCTGAGCAAATTCCTGCCTGCAGGATAAGCTGTTCCTCGGGTCAGGGAGAGCATCTGTGAGCATCATCACTGTTCAGAGATATCCCCAGGGCAAAACAGCAGCAGCGAGCAGAGAAATCAGGGAGGGGGAAATCTGATGCAAGGAAGGGGCCTGAGGGGGCTTTGAGAAGCCTCTGCTCCATCCCCAGCTCAAAAGGCACCAAAATGCAAAGCCTCACCTTGCTGGCTCCAGGCAGGAGGTGCAGCTTGACATAAGGATCTGCCAGGCCATTGGAGTCCATCGGTTTTAAGCCCTAAAGGATGATAAAGGAAACACAGCACATGAATCCTCCTCCAGCAGAGCCAAGGAAGAGGAAAAAGCTGCCCACAAAGTTACTCAGTGAAGAGAAAATGTGTTCCAGAGCCTCATTCTCTGCCCTGAGCTCAGGTGGGTGTCACAGTGTGCTGAAACATCAGACCCACTCCAGAAAAATCATAGAATTCTAGAAACACAGGGTGCTTTGGGTTGGAAGAGACCTCAAAGATCACCAAGTTCCACCCTCTGCCATGGGCAGGGACACCTTCCACTACCCCAGGTTGCTCCAAGCCCCATCCAACCTGGCCTGGAACACTCCCAGGGATGGAGCAGTCACAGCTTTTTGGGGAAGCTTGTCCTGGTGTCTCACCACCCTCACAGAAAACAACAGGCAAGGAAAAACTCTCCCAACCCTACTCAGCCAGGAGCAGCTGTTCCAGCAGTTTCAGGCTAGATCTCCCAGAGGAGCAGCCTCTGCCAGCAGCCACGTGGCTCCCATCCCATCACCCCAGGGCAGCTGGGAGCCAGATGGACTGAAACTGGGGGAAGAAAGGGTAAAAAGAGCACTAACCTTGGCCTTGATGAGGGTGCAGTGCAGGGAGCTGTTCTCCTGGTCATAGAGCAGGCTGAACTCCAGTGCTCCCAGCGTGGCTGACAGTGAGGAGGGAGGAATTGGAAACAGAACCTCGTTAAAATCTCAGCCAATAACTGCATTTAATCAGCCCCTGATTAGTAATAATTAGAAAGATTTGCAGGTCAAACGTAAAAGCTGTTTAATGCATGTGAAGCTGTGCTGGCATCAGCCAAATGCCCCAAATCCAGCTGGATTCATGAGCTCTGGGCAGCAAAGCTTCACCGAGGAGAGACAGCCCAGGGAGGGCAGTCTGGGGCTTTGGAGGTGACTGCAATATTCACCAGGCAAAGGAGGAGAAACCCTACAGACCCTTCTCCCATGAATGCCACCCTGGACTGCTGAGAAGATGTTCCAGCTCAGGGACAGCATCTCCTGTCCAGGCTGGGGCTCAGAATTCCCCCCATTTTGACCTGCTGGAAACCAGCTCAGGCTTGTCTTAATGTGCTCATGAGCAGAATATCACTGGAATGAAGAGTAGGCACAGAATCTCAGCTGTGTCCAGCTGCTCCTACCCAAGCACCTGCTCCTGGCCCTGAGCAGCTCCTCCCACCCAGGATGCTCAACCTGAACAGCCTGTGAATCCCAACTCCGAGCCCTGCAGGGAAGCA